CCCCCCCCCCTTTTTTTTTACTTTTCTGAAAGCCCGCTGATCAGCGTGGTCACATAAGCAAACAGACCCTCGTCACTATCCAGAAAATCATTACTACCATGCAAGAAAGTAAAATCCGACAGACAGAGCACGTTATCTGGTTTACTGACAACCAGTGGATAATGCACATTAATGAGTAGCTCATCAAAGTTTGAAAGTAACTATACTTCAAATCAAAAAATTACCAAGCTGAAAAGTTAAAGAAAAAAATCGACCAACAAACGTACCGGACTTTTCATGTTAACATACAGCACATAAATTGACAACGGTAGCACATGCACCAAATCTTGCAACATAAACCATCCGAGCGGTAAATCATCATGACGAGGTATTGGTGGGACAAAACGGTACGGTGATTCCTCACCCACATAAATGGGGCACTTTTTGAGTGGTATGCCTTGTCCAGGCGGTTGAGCAGGAGGAAATCTGTAAAACGCGAACACAAATATGGGTTATAATTGAATCTGTTTTGTTCAATAAAATCATCCGGAAGTTAGCGCACATAAACAACCCTTTTCGTCGAACATTCGCTTTCCTTCCTCACTTAATTTCTCCCTCTCATCCGCCTTGCAAATCAGTAACATGATTGTTCAAATAAACAAGTCGGGTAGGAGGCTGTACTGATGATTCCCACTCCTACTGTTCGGTCTGTGTATATAGCTAAGAGATGAAACACAGACTGCGCCATAAAATGTCTTCATACACATGGCATTCAAGTGAAATCCTTCTATTATTCTATTGGCAGTACCAAACTATTTCCTACAAAATTAAAATAATTGTTGGACCGCTAAAGTTTCTTATCAAAAGAATCGCTGAACTAGCAATTCGTTTAGAAGACAAAACAAAAGTGTTAAAATCGCTAGCAGGCTGACTTTCAGGCGATGCAAAATTGGACAAAACAAGTGGAAAAAAAGTTCACAGCTGCATAGCTGGGAAATCACTCGTAATACGGGATCCTAGAACGATTATCGAGGTCCGCGGCAACCGGGACATTGCGAATTATCAAGGTACACTTTGCTCACGGATAAACATGACCGGACTCAGGAGACGAAACAGAGGCGTAGTTGAAAAACCAGTCCTACAGAATACAGGCTGTTCCAAGAATTTCACAAGCAATACCATCAATATTTTTAAGTAATCCTAGCCATTACTTGCTGAAAAACACCTCCAGACGAGTAATATTACCACTGTACCGTAATGACATCACTTCCAACACGACCGGCGGATTAGTTTAAAATGTGAAACCTTCCAAAATTTACTGGCAATT